TCTAAATAGTGAAAGAAGAATCAGATTTCATGATGATAATGGCAAGTCGGAGCAATTCGGTTGCTGCGTGTGAACGCGGGCGGCTGGTGTTGCTGGTGTTGCGACGTCAAGTTGCTGGGTAAAATTGCTCCGTCTGAAGCGGGCCTAACTCATCTTTCTGAAAAGGTTTATTTCCGAAAACGATCGATTTCAAACCAGAACCAAGTCTTTAGCTGTCATCATCACCACCACGGGGGTGTCACGTGAAAATATCGCGTCCCTGATTGGCTGCTGCCACTTCAAACGGCTCCGAGTTGTTCGAGTTGCTCGTCCGTTTCGAGCCGGACCCGATCTCAGCAATTCCTGTCGATTTAGGGAAAGCTAGGGAACAACCCGCCAGCAACCTGAAAATTGCTGGAAAAGTTGCCCCGTCTGAAGCGGGCCTTAGCAAACGATTTCTAGACCATTTCTGAAAAGCGCTTCTGGCCGATGCCATTATCAGCGTTAGTGCGTGTGGCGCGTACATTTCTCGCCTCCAAAGCGACGAAAATGTGCATGCTGGGCTGGGACCCAACACATGTAGACTGTGATTCTCGTAAAGTATGAAATGTATAGAATGGAATAAACTGCATTCGTGTGGATCAGATGGCAGGTTACTGGTCATAAAGATCGTGCTAAAATGACAATTAAAAGAACTCTGCAACCACCAAGCCAAACATCAAGGAGCAATGGAATGCGTATAAAATACACAAATACACTGTTCATCTTCGAATAAAGAATATTTGCTTGAAGAAACAATAGTGCGTAAGGTACAGAAAGACATCATAAAACTTTTATTTCAAAATAAGTTAACAAAATTTACTAAAAAGAAATGTGTAACCGTTTTTTTAGTAACTTTTGTTAACTTATTTTGAAGTAAAAGTTCAAACACCCATCCACGAGAGCACATGGGAAGGACGTAATTCTATATAAGATTTTTTAAAATTATGTTTTGGTTTAGCACAGTTTCCATCAGCTATAAATTTGCGTGCCTTCCCTCAACGACATTAATATTTTCATGGTTAAAAAAAACTTTTCAGCCCTATATAAAAGTTTTCCGCAATAGAATAAATCAAAGACGTTTTCATCACTTCTCCTGCAAAGAATATTGCATGCCAACCATTTGACAAACCAGGAAAAGGGTCTATTGTATATTAATGGAGCTCAACACCTGCTCCATGAACCTCTGTAATAGCAGACAGGAATAGCAATATGTCTAAATTCATGTCGAAATTCAGACTTGAACTGACGTATCACTTCTCGTCTTCAACGTATCGGCCGCGTACAGCGATTACGCACATGCATAACACGAAATTCTTTTTGTAGAGTCCAGTGGTGAGCGCAGCGGGAATTCCGGCGGTGCAACGGTCCTGGGTTTAAAATTGGGACTGGAACTGCGCGGTTCCAGGCTGGATACAAGCTGGTGCCCCAATTTTGGGTCTAGGCGGAACCGGCATTTTTCATTCCGGCCTGAATCTGACATTTTCGTACGGGGTTAGTGTCCGCAAGTTCCCTCCCAAATACTTTTTCCCTCCTTTCGTGTGCGGCGAGACCCCTCATTCTTTAACGGCGTCGGCGGGTTGGCGCAGTTGACGTCGTCTGCTTTACGTCTGCTAGTCAAAGCGATGGCTGCTTTACCTTTCCTGCGTCTGTCGGAGATTCACCACTTTTTCACCGGCGAGAGTCACCGTTGCCTCGGGAAACAAGGAGATAACTAAAGGAAGAAATTGACCTCTTAATCTAAAATTGAGGTCAGCGGAAGGGTTCACAAGGGTCGCGCGGGCATATTCCATTCAGCAAGCGCCAGCCGGTCGTGGGCAGACGGTCGCCGAGCGCTAGGCCTAACTGCGGAACTCGCTTGGTCGCGTTTGGTGGAATCGTGGCCGTTGGAGCTTCTCTCGGGTGTTTGTGGATCCAGCGTTCTTGTTCGTCGTGGTCTGTTTCAAGTACTTCTTCCTTTTTTCTTGCTGCTTGAAGTCGGGACGCGTGACAAGCGCACGTAGAAACATAAACGTCCGTGGATCGTCGCGACCGCGACGCTGTTGGCCATGCTGATTTGATCGTAAGTGCGTAAGACAGCTTCGGAGCTGTCGTAGGATTTCGTCATAACCTGCGCAAAAACTTAAGAAAATTTCGTTTCGTGAATACGAATTTGTTCTCAAGTATTGTCTTACGCACATTTTTGGCGTAAGATCGTTTCGTGAGGCCTCTGCACTTACGAAAGTCGCAGGAAAGGTGAGACAGAGGCAGACGACGTTGCGAGCAGACGACGTTGGAAAGGAGCAGACGACTCTCAGATAGGGGGTCGCGATCAGCCAATCAGGGCTCGGCGTTCTGACGTCACCGCTACCCCTTGCGCAAGCAGCAGACGAACTTGCCCTCCTCATTATCTACCGGGCAGTGTGAGCTGTGGACTATGTTATTATTTTCCTCCGTTTTGTTCTTAGCTCCTACCGACGCCGCAAAAGGAAATAAACAAACGTGTGACGTGCAGCTAAAAAAAAAGGGAAGCTCTTTTTTTTTTTTAATAATTTCGTCGTGTAGCTTCCGCTGTTTCTTGTGGACTCAACAGCGAGCATCAACTGCTAATTTTCAATGCTTTTACCGACGCCCCGTGCGATCGATCGTCTTTGCCGAGTGATTTTGTATCTTTGTATCGTCTGCTAACTTTTCCGTTTCATTCGCCGTTGTTCACGACTGTTCCCCACTTCTTTTTATTGTCGTCTGGGATGGGGACTCCATTTTTTTGCAAAGTCCGGCAAGTGTTTGCACGGTCATTTTTCTCGTTACTTTTTGTAATGCTGCAGAGGCTGGTGCATGTTGTTTGCGCATCACCTATTCAGGTAAGAAATTGCGACATCGCAGTTTGTAACAGATAAACAGTAACCTCTTACGACGTAGTTCGAGTAGCTAAACGTCTTTCTTTTTGCTTCCCAGATACGCTTCAAGCGCGTGCAATCCCCCCGAGTGGCGGCGCGTGTTGTTTTTTGATTATCGTCGCAGTTGCGATCAGTGGATTCCGCTTTACAAGCGGACTGACCGTAATGAATAGTTTCTGTTGTTGGAGTGACGCACTGATCTCTATGTCTATTTGCAATTGTCATTGAGATCAGTGGGGTAACGAAACGGGGCACGCAACGCTTGAGGACGTCTGGGTCGTCTGCTTCCGTAGACTCAGAGTCCGCTAGAAACGTGCCGCGTCACGTTCGCTGCCGCTTTCATGGGTTTTCGGCGCAGTTTCCAGTATTGGCGAAGCTGTATCGTATTTGGTCACACGACGTTGTCCAACTTCGTTTCCTGTCTCAAGGTTGTGTGTACAAGCTGGTGCAAATGGTTGCCTTCAATTCAGATAGCACACAGGCTAAATTGAGGCCCTCGCGCCTTCCTTGGGGAAGTGGTAGTCAGCATTTTTCATTCACTTCTAATTTTCATGTCAAAACCTGGCAATAACCTTATACAATCGTGTGCGCAACAAAGACGAGGACAAAAGCAGAGAAGGGGACACAACAAGGCGCCTTGTTGTGTCTCCTTCTCTGCTTTTGTCCTCGTCTTTGTTGCGCACACGATTGTATAAGATGTCAAACCAACTCGCCCAAACAACCACTCTTCTGGCAATAACCTTGAACAGGAAGTGGAAACGATCTCTCCTTCCCCCTCCCTCCCATTGAAAAGTTTCTATCCTTCAATCTGTAAAAAAAAAAAAAAAGTCAAGGGGAGGGTGGTTTTCCGTTGACATTTCTAGGAAACAATTCGGGAGAAGGGGAGGGGAATCACTTCCGAAACCCCCGATGCCTGGCGCCTGGGATCAGCATCCCATTATGTTCACCCTTTAACAAAAAAAAAACAAAATTGTGCGACAGAGGTGGAATTTGGAATTGTGCAAAGCTGTTTTGTATTGCTTGTATTATTGGAAGCTCACAATTCTGAGAAGCAACTTATAGGCACTTCGGTTCAAAAATATATCCATTGTTCATTGCATTTCATTAGAGACTCGATTCCTTGATTGCCAACTTTCGAGGATTTTACAAAATAATTAGATCACAAACGTGAAATCTTGCAGCGGTATCCCACTCATGAACTGAAATAAATTGAGGAAATGATGAAATACAGAGTAGTATCCCCCCCCCCCCCCCCCAATAAAAAAGTTTGAGTTTTTTTTTTACGGCAAAAACACTCGTGACCGAACACATATTCTCCACCTAAACGTGCACTGGTGGTGCGAACCAGATGCCAAAGCTTCAGAACTCACCCTTAGCCCATTCAAAAGTTACAAGCGAATTCTTAATGGGGAAAATGGCGATTGACGGAGCTTTCGAATACACGGCGCTGAATGGGTACCAGTCGAAGAAAACGGCAAAAATGAGCCCCATTTCCTCATTGAAAAGTTTTTTTAGTAACTTTTACACGAAGGAACATAGTTCCGAAACTTTGGCATTTCGTTCGGACTGCTAGCACATTTGCGTGGAGAATCAGCCTTCGACGATACATACATAGTTTATTTATATCGCCACAGATATATCGCTACAGAAATGCGAGGAAAGGAACTGACAATAAAAAATCCCGATGCCAATTAAAACAGCTCACAATCCTGAAATCTCTAACTCGCCCTACTCCGTTTGCTGGTTTATTTCATTTAACTTGTGAAGTCCACACGTCGGGTTACTGTTGCTACGAAGGCAAGCATCTGATGTACCTGCTTGTAGAAATGGACATATTGCACCCTATAATGCCGACATAGAAGTCGCAGCTGCCCTATTGAAACCGCCTTGCACGACTTTCCCAGTTTGTCAGATAACCGGCGTTTTTCTTATAAATTTGTGTTTCGATCCTACATCAGAGTAGCTAAGTAATGCCACTCACCCCCATAACAGCCAAAGTGACCCTAATAACAAACAAGTGCATTACTTGTTCCCGATTCACAGTGAAACAAAAAACATTGTATATAACTCGAGGCAGTGCCCCAAATCAGAAGAGGCTGGAGCAAAAGTTGTGGAAACGCAAGTTTAATTTCTTAAAAATTATTTATAGCCTGTACACAATCATGCATATAGACATTATCCAACTAAACACTCATTCCACACTCTACCATGAAACAGTCGAGACAATCCCCTTAAACGGACCTTGGCGCAGTAAACAAAGGGAGGGGGACACCCATCATAGATCGAAAAAAACCCAAGCTGAGCAGAACACGCTTTGTGGTAGGTAAGGCATTCCACGCTCTTCCGCACACCGCCCAATGTTTTGGCAAGCTGCCGAGAAACTGGGACCTCGTGAACCGAAACACAATTCGCCCCTTAGCCAATCGCTCGCAATACAAGTATGCCAGACGCACGGGGAACTAAGACAATCCTGTGAGAGAGCTGTCCGTTCGAGGCATTGTTATTCCTAAGTTGAACAGAAGTAAAAAAAGTCAAAACAAACTTTGGCGAAAAAGAAAAAAAGAACCCCAAAGAACGTGAGCGAAAGTGCCGCTGCCAAACACGCCAAGGTCGTTCCATCGCCGCAGCCACAGAGCCCACACAGACGAGACAAATCCGCGTCCACCGATCGCAGTGGCAAGGCTCCTTTCGTTTCGGGATTTTTTTTGTACTTCCTTTCGCGACTCCTTAGGCGCTTCGCTCCACTGGCGAGGTCAGACTGCAAAACAAACTGCTTGCCACGCGATCGAGAACCTCCCAGGTCCGTTGCGGAAAAACAAAGCGAGAAGGTTAACCCACTAACCTCGCGGCAGACCCACGATTCCCAGTCACCTTGCACCTCCTAGCAAAGCGGCCACCTCGCTCCTAGAAACGTCTCGACAGCGCGCGGACAATACTGGGCCCGCAAAAAGTCGTGCACGCACACTCTTGCCGGATCGGTCCCTGCGAGCTTCCGAGGCGCGTCAAGGCCCCTAGAAAAGACGGTGCCTACGGTAGCAAAACCCCTCTCCAAGACCCCCGCCCACGTTGCCAGACCTCTACCTCTCCGGACCGATCGCCTCCTTCGAGCTCCAAACAAACTGTAAAAGTGGGAGACGGGGAGGGCAGACAGAGTCGGGGAGCCCAGATGAGAAAATCTGAAACATTTATAAAAAAAAACGAAGGGCAGCAGAGGGTGCCGGGAAGCGGGGTCCCTGCGGCTACTCCCACTCGGTGGTGCCGGGGGGCTTGGGCGTGAGGTCGTACATGACGCGGGAGATGCCGCTCACCGACTGGATCTCGCTCACCATCTTCTTGATCACCTGCACATTCAGAGGCACACCGTCAATGGCCGGCCCCCACCGCATTCGGGGCTCTCCAGACAGTATAGGGCCAACGCCGTCGCAACAAAAACACCCTAGAGTTCGCTATAAAAACATGAAAGTTCCAGCATGTGCGTTTGTTTTCAGTGAGGACATGAGCCGGGCAAACAGCACGGATTTCAGCCTCGCCTCCTCGCCGTCGTCTCTTCCCCTTTTTTGTTTTCGGGATATTGGGGGACCGACGACAGCCAGCAGAACGTGCGAGTGGCTCTCCAGACCCACCTGATGAGCACGCCCTAATCCTGTGCCTAAAAACACGAGTTAAAAAAAAAAAAAAGCTTTCCCCTCGGCAAAAAATAAAATGTGTAAAAGCGACCCGGAAGTCGAGAAAGACCTCCACTTCCGGTACACCAGACGCTGGGACTGTAGAAAACTCTCCCCGTTTGGACGGGCCTTCACTATAGTCGGATGCAACCTAAGAACAATCTTTTAGCTCCACCCACAAGCGCATTGCGCCCATCTGAAGTGCGTCCGCCGTCGAGAAAGTAGTTCGCTAGCAACGTTGCTTTTTCTTCCTCCAGGAAACGTGTCTTAAACTACTACAATATTTATTTAATTCATTCAGGACATTTAAATAAGTTAGAATACGTTTTTGTCAACGAAATAGCTGTTTAGTAAAGAAAGAAAGTCATGTCCAATGTACCGTCTTCCCAACTCATTTTTCTGTCCAAGATACTGTCTAACATACCGTCTAACATACCTCTCAGCAGTGCTAAGCCTCGCGCCCGCTTCGAAATTTTCGTTGGCGATAGCGTCGCTGGATTCTCACGTTGTCGCGCAAAAACTGCTGCAAACGCAAGCCGATACCATTAAGATTTCGTGGCGTAACCTCGGGCACGTAAAACACGGTGCAAAAAAGCAGAATAATTGTCACGAGAAACTAGCGTCGCGTTGCTAAGGCCAGCAGCCATGTTGAGCTTTTTTTTTTTTTTTTCAAAAGGATCGCGATTGCTCCACGGAATCGTGACGTCATGAAGACGATTGGCTGGCGTTTCTCAGCATAGGATTACATTTTCCTCTGAGAGGCATTTCCGATTTTTTCTTAGCTTGCAACCGACTATAGTCGCCCAAATTTCTTTTTGCCGGTCGCAACCATCCTCGTTCATTGGTACCGAGCAGCCGCAATGAAGCTTCCCGTCAACTCTTTTGCGCTCCCGCATTTATCCCTTTTGAGGATAAATAGGGAGTTTTAGAATAGCGCACGCTAAAGCTTTGCGTACGCAAAGAATAGCGCTGTCGCCACTGCGCATGCGCCGAACGCAAACCACGTATTGCGCTTTGCGTGCACTATTTTAGCGCACGCTATATCTCAGAAATTGCGTGCGTACGCAAAGGGCCTTTGCGCTCCTCCAAGAAAAATTCGTAATGAGAAGTTGGATAAAGCCAAGTCGAGCACAGTTAAAAAAATGGCGGCCCCCAGGACCATGGCTGCGGCCGCTTTGGCGGTGTCGTGAGCGCGACGTCGGCGGCATCCTCGAGACTGTGATTTTCAAGACAGGAGGATATTGCACTCGGTTTGGAAAACCGAGACAGGTGGGCAACAATCACCAGCACCTTGATGCTTGCGACGAGCGAACATTAATCGGCGAAGGTCAGTCTTGCCAAGGCGACGCATGCGGACACGACCGGTCGACCGCTCGCGTCGCATTCTCACGTTTAAAAAAATTTAAAACTGTTACTCCAGACCAAAAATCTTGTTTTTTCTCAAGTTACAGCATTTCGTGCGTGAAATAAAAATCGTGACTGCATCTTGGTGGCGTTGCAAGTGCGAGATGCTTGGGCTTTTCCGTCGCGGCGGATAAACGCTATTCTAAAACTCTCTTGCGTCGCATGCGCTAACGCAAGCACTAAATTTAGTGCTAGCGTGCGCTAAAATCGCGTACGTTATTCTAAAAATCTCTAATAACAAGCGCGACAACGCATTCGAAAGTTACCGCCTAAAAGTAAAACTGACCGCAACCTGGAAGGTTCTGCTATACCTGTTGTCGTTGGGAAACTGTAGTTGTATTTGTGCCGTGTTTTCCCTCATGGGGACTATTTTTAGTAGTAAAATTAGACACTCCATGCGCATGATACACACGAGATTATCAATTCGCGTGTCGACCGTTCTGGCAATGAAGGCAATCGAAACGCCAGCTCTTCCTACTCGGGCTTCCAATGCTCCTTGGAATTGATTTCGGAAGATGAGAACTCATCCTCCGACGAAACAGCTCCGTAAAGCACACCTGGCACGGATTCCAAGACCGCCGGAACCTCACGAAACTGGACGTGCCAAAGCAAAATCGAACGGAACTAAAGCAACAATTTTCACCCTCAAAATTTCATTTGCTTCTTCTCAATCTGGGGTTTGCAAGCAGTGTATGTGCTACTCTTAGAAAATAAAAAAACCTGCGCATCAACTTATTCTTTGTACAGGAAACTAAATTCGACTTTTCGTTTAATTCGATCGCGTTCAAAAGTTCCGGCAAGCGACCATACATTTCTATAGGAGGAAAAGTTTGATAGTTCGAACTCAGGAAGACTCCGCATCAGATAATTCGTCCCGAGCAAATGCGCGCGGGCTCACGTTGCACGGCACCACGGCAGAACCACCAAGGTATGGCGAAACACGGGCCTTTTGCTGCAAGGCCAAACATGTGCAAATATGCGCCTGCTCCCCTACGCCGTTGAGATGAACCATAGCAAACGACACGAGCCAGCACAACCAATCTGACGTGGAGTAGCGCAGAGAACATAGCACGTTGTCGGGCACGGAGACAGTGCATGCTCTCAAAGCACTTTTCTGTAGCATCGTGTGTGGTCAATCTTGTGCGCCAAAAAGCGCAAATTCTCTTTTCCTTTTTTTTTTTTTTTCTTTTTGTTGTTGACGGTCTGTCTGCTTGGCATCAAATTCGGCTTGTAAAGCTTTCTTAGAGTCACTGTATGGGCTCCCAGAGTAACGAAACTCCGAAGGTTCGTTTCAAAACCGCGGCGCTGCGCTGAAACCGAAATCATGGCGCCGCCATCTTGGGTCCACGCGTTGCCGGGGGTATGAAGGCAATCGTGTGTCGGAGCATTTTGAAAGAGCTTCATTTAAACTGGTCGATGGGCTACACAAAATCTTCTGTTGTGCTGCGAGTAGCTTCCGTAGATAATTAACATAACATTACATGATTTGCTCTCTACCCTTTTTTTGCTTGGCTGCGACGATAAGTCCAACGCAAAGAATCGTAGGGACTGCGCTATGTTTGAGGAGCTTCCTGCCACTGGGTCTGTGCGTTTCGAATTGACTCTTCGAACTGATCCTAGAAGTCATTGTAATAAAAAGACTCAGCATGTTGAGGCAATCTGAACGGAAAACACTGCGACCTAAACGCTATTCAGAACTATTTCGCGAAACTACGAAAATAACGAGAACATAAACTGCATGAAAGCAATTTTTCCCGGTCGTAACTACGTCACTCCAAGAGGCAAACGCACGCACACGACTTTTGATGGATTAGCTAAGTTTGCTACACATGTAAAATTGAGCAACGCGATATGCGACAGCGAGAGATCTTACCCAACACCGGACTAAACTTAGCCCATCGCTTACCAAATCCCAAGAGCGTCGCTTGTGTGGAACTGAACACAGTTGACGCCAGTTTGACTGAATGAACCAGCTGTAATCGGCACTTGCCCCACAAAGCTTGCGTGATGCAGTGGTCTCGAAATCTTTACGTTTTACTATGGCCTGCCAAGCCTACTTCCTCAGTCTTGCAGTTGCGTTCTTTCCAAACGGGATCCGGAAGAGTCTCTTTCCATTCTCCGACCTGCTGCTGCACCCAAAAGCACAACAAGCAGGCGTTGTGCCACTAAGTACACAACCTCCTTACTTTTAACGTCAGTAACCGCGTAGAAAAGTTCGCACGTAAACACGCGTTCGATGAGCAGCAGAGCGTGCGTGTGTGCAGGTGTTTACTGGACCCAAGATGGTGGCGATTAGAGCCGCTTGAAGCGCCGATGGAGGAGAGTCTAACGGTGCTTGCGTCACGTGATCGCTACCGTCCAATGATGCTCACCAAGCCAAAACATGATTGGCTAGAGTGAGTATGTTGTCGGCAAAATACAAAAAGAGAAGGAATGCGCTACTCTGGGAAGCCACACAGTGACTCTAAGCTTGCTCAGCGCGTGCTCTCAAAGCGCCGCTTTTCCGTAGCATCGTGTGCGGTCCATCTTGCGCGTCAGAAAGCGCAAATTCTCTTTTCTTTTTTTTTGTTATTTTTCTTTGCCATTGATGGTTGCTATCGCCGCCAAAGTCTGTGCGTAAATTTTTTTTTTTTTTTTTTTGTAGTACGCGATTTTTTGAGGACGTGACGTTGAGTTATGTTGCTGACCGGAGCATGCTTTTGGACATGCATTTTAAGCGCAGATGGCAGCAGACCATCCGTGAGCACTAAGACAATAAAAGGAAGTTTAATTTTAACCGTTTTTCTGTCCTTTTTGTAATTCAATCACTCGGATAATTCAACCAAATTTCAAGGTCCCGTCGAGGTCGAATTAACGGAAGTTTACTCTACTACCCCTTTAATGAACAAAGGACCCCAAGCACTAGGGTGCAACTTCTGGGAAAAAGATAAACGAGTAAGCTCGACCGCAAAAGGGGGTTAACTTTGCCACCTCGGCCTTTGGAGGGACGCGACAACTGCCGTAAAATGCTGCGCAACATGAGCCCAAGAGGAGCTGGGTGAGGCACGGACGTGCGACTATGCATCAAACAATCGCACCTTTCTCGGTGACGAAGCCCGGGAGGTAATGAAGTTCCAATTTAACTTTTACGGCCACTCTGTTCACTTTTCATGATTCTAGTCCCCGAATTGTAGTGCCGTCAGATTATTGTAGAAGAACAGATAGCACCACCTGCCACTGATAGTCAATTCCGCTGATAGATCTGGAGCGCCTTCCGAAAGCCGCGAGGGAGGCAAAATTTTGCTCCGTGGGACCCGCTCCAAATTGACCAGCAAAAGATGAACTTGCATTTTTTTGAAGCGACCCGCCCGAGACGGTCGGCCCTTCAAAACGGCCGCTGCTTGAACTCGACAAGCCGATCAAAGCCTCAACAGACTGAGCCTTCCGACGACCAGTCACAACTGTCACTGTTTAGCTATAGAAAAAACGCGTGACACAGGCCGGGTGAAAATATTCCTACCACAGAGCCCGTGTCGCAAATGACAAGGCAGATGTCTTCGCTTGCGACCGTTGCATATCTTTTGGCCACCTCAAAGCAGCGGGGCACGCACGGCATTCGCCATTGGTGAAGTTCAGATTGTTGGTAAGACTTTAATAAACACGAAGAGGTAACAAACCATCACTTTCACAGTCGTTGCCTAATCTGTTCTTGGGCCAAAGTGGGATTTTGCCTTGCCCGGGGGGCCCCGCAGGGTCCAAACCTACCCCGGGCTCCGTTCATTTGCCAGGATACCCTTTCCCCAAGAATGCCACGCACCGCCAGACATGGGTGGGCAAACCCACGTGGTTCGGGGTCCATGGTGAGGCCACTCACTAGACACTTACTGGGAGCCCGGGACCGGTGTCGCAGTTAACTGTGGCCACAATCGTTCGCTCCATGTGCGCACCTAAAGAGTCGCAGATAGCGGCGCAGAGGGGTGGCAGGCTCACCTCGAGGGGCAGGTGCTTGTTGGGGGTGGCGGGCACGCCGGTCATAAAGTCCTGGGTGATGAAGGTGCGCACCACGATGCAGTGCTGGCACGAGGGCTGGCGGCTCACCACGTCCCTGTCCAGGTGCAGGGGCAGCAGGATGACGGGCATCTGGGACAGCGAGGCCGCGTGGCCCGAGGCCCGCAGCACCTGCTGGGCCAGGTGGTCGCACTGCCGCAGCGTGCTCAGCACCAGCGGCGTCAAGTACGTGGGCGTCACGTCTTGCACCGGGAACGCCACGGGGCCCCCGAACACGTACACCACCCTGCGGGAAACCCACCGTGAACTCCTCTCCCCAGAGCCGGCCGTAAGATACCCGCCCTCCCACCGAGTGTCCAGTAAAGCCTCCGAGGCTACGTCCGAGACTCGAGAAGCAATCACACTCGCCACTCGCGGCGGTCGCACGACCGACTAGAGATACGGCCACACACACTTCGGCAGCGGGGAACTGCCGAATCGCTTCTCGAAACCTCTCGGGAGCTGCCACGGCCGAGGTTCGCGTTTTGCCGCTTTCCCATTTTCATTGCCGCCAACTGCAAGTGCCTCGTTAGCACAGCTTGAGAGATGGTCTTGGGAATCGTACGATGAAAGCGCAATTGCCACGTCGGCCCATTCGAGCTTCGGCAGTGCGGTACATACCCGTCGACTGAGAGGCGGCACGGAGTTGGACAAAGTTCTTTTTCGGGTGCTCCCACAAACCGGGGTGCTGCTCGTTTTAAAGAAATGGATATTCCCGATAGGTGCCAATCGGGGCCGCCGCAAAAACCTCCGTGCCTCTCTATCTGTGGCCGCTAGCTGAAAGCTGGCGCTTCAAGTTCAATGCACTTAAAGCTCTCGATGCACCGCGTGGTCCGGGCACTTTACGCCGGTGGGGAGCCCACCTGTTGATGTTGTGGCAGATCTTGGGGATGAGCTTGGCCAGCCGCATCAGGTCCTCCCAGTTGGTGGGTTCCTCGGCCGAAGACAGGCCCACCACATAGCTGTATGTGCGCCGGTCCCCCTGCAGCGTGTCACTCCACGTCAGACGCCCGGCGTGTCGCCCTATTGAGCGCCCACCCCGCCCTTTCCAAACCTTTCAAGGCAGGCAGTCAGGCGCCTAACCCGGCAGAGTTCGCCAAGGAGCTCCTTTGCGTCGGCCGCTTCGGCCGGCGTTAAAGGCCGAAAAAGCGACCAAATGTGTTACTCTCTACTCGCAAACAAAACGTTACATCAAAATAAAAGGAACGCTTTGCCGATAAAAAGTAAGGCATGCTACTTGTGCCTTATTGCCATTTGCATTACCTGCCGTTGACAACGACGGCCATTTTTGGCACTGGGACAAAGGGGTGTCAACGTTCATTCTTAAAGGGTAACTGCAAAGAAAAAAACTTTTTTTTTTTTAAACAGTCTCATTTGCAGGAGCGTGTCAAAAAGCAATATTTCCGCGAGAAAAAAATTTTTTATAGCAATATTTATTGCGTGAGACTGATTTTAGTTTGCAGCTATTTCGTCCGTTTTAAATCGCGCGCCACAAAGTTGGTGTGCCGTGACGTTTAGCACTGATTGGCTGCTATACTTCTCATTGGCTAAGAGACTGACAGGTTAGATCAGGGGTGGCCAGGCTGACCCGGTCTAAGAACCGCAAACAAAACCACGGAACTTCCAAGAGTCCCAAAGGGGGGGGGGGGGGGGCAAATTTCAGTCTAGAGCAATAAACGAAACTATCTACTTTCTGTCTATCCGAGTCAAAAGCAGTCCAACTGTACGTAAGGTAGCACGAGACTACCAAACCGCAACCTGTCTTTCGATTTAAAACGCATTCCATTTCTCCTTTAGGCGAAGTGCTCGTGTAACCGGGAGGAAGGCGGGGGAGTGGGGAAGGAGGGAGGTTAGGGGAGGGAGCCGCACTTTAACACGCCAAGAGCCGCAGCTTGGCCACCCCTGGCTTAGATCTTGGTTGTTAAAGCTTGTTTGCAAGACGGGCACTTACGTTTGGATTCATACCATAACAAACAAAAGATTCACCATTCTTTCATGGCCTCCGAAGTCTCTGCTCCCGCCTATCTCGCCTACCTCGACTAGTCGTTTCGCCAAAGTGGTCAGCGTTTCGTGCTGACCCAGGCGCTTGAGTGAGACTTCTTGAAGTGAAGTAGTGTGTGTTTAGCAGCTGTCGCAGGTGTTAGTGATAGGAAGCGACGCGGGGTTTTGGCTTTCATAGCGTGGTTCTTTCGTTTTTCTCTTTGCATGCTTAGCGTGCTTTTTTTTTTTTTTTTTTGCTTGCTTGTGCAAATGCTGACTTTTTTGGAGATGTCAGATGAGTGATCCCGACTGCGAGCCTTCCAGAAGCCATGTCGCCCCGAAAGGAATGCTATTTGGCTGGAGGCAATCGGGCGTTCGCGTAGCGATAAACATGTCCAGTTACATTCTCGTCATATCGCTACGGAGGCCGTCGAGATTCCCACCGGGTGCACCTAACGTCCGCGACTAGACACAGCTGTTACGTAAAAAACCTGGCACGAAGTAATAGCTGGGTTCCGCAAGGGTCGAAAGAGCGGGAGTTTCAAATGTGGAGAGGTTCTGACTCCAACTAAATTACGTCCTGTAGCGTAAATATTGCTGAAAAAATTTTTTTTTTCGCGGAACATTTGTTTTGAGACATGCTAGTCTCAATTAAGCTGTTTAAAAAAAACACTTTTTTTCTTTGCAGTTACCCTTTAAGGGAGTGTTTGCACAGTGAAGGGAGGAACAATTTTGAAGGGATGTGGGATGACTGCCAGAATTTGTACGCTATGCCGCCTACAAGCAGGTACAAAATTGAAGGAGGAGAGTGAGTGTAATAAGTAATGTAACTACGTTATCCGTAACTAGAAATAAATAATGTAAGTACGCTATCCGTCACCGTTTTGGTAATGTAACGAATCTGTCACTAAGTTACCAGAAAAAGTAATGTGCTGCCGGTAACGCCGTTACTAGTAACACGTTACCGCCAAGACTGTTTCGAGCAAGCTACCAAAATAATGCGGAAGCTTCAAACACGCGCACCGGTGCGGGGCGGCGAAGCTTCGCAGGCATGCACCGGTGTGACACGAAAAGGGCAGAGCAAAGCATGCGTGACATGAGCTGCGTGACCGTTTTAGAAATTGCTCCTTTTTTTTCCGCTCTAACGAGTGCACGTTCCCCATTTCTGAAAGATTACCTACGGTACAACTTTAGGGGGCGCTCAATCGGCAAGTTACCGTAGTACTCTCTTATGGCGACTGTGAAATGGGGCATGACAATTGGGAGTCAGACAACCCTCCCAGATGCACATCCCGTAAACAACCTATCACTCGCAACAATTGAATTTTAGAACATTCGACTGAGAGAAAACACTTGAGTGCAAAGAACCGATCGCGCCGACAAGGCCCAGTGGCCAGTCTACTCCTGGTCGCCAAATTTTGTGCCGGGGAACAAAATTTTGATGCCTTTTCTCCGCCTCATGAATGTCGAACGCTTATTCCGAGTACAGGAAGGCCAAAAGTGAAAAAATAATTTTATGATCCCTCCATACAGAGTTGGGCATTTATTTGAGTGGCATACTACTATCGTTGCAAGGTTTAAGAGAACGAGAGCAACCACATATATGGCAGCCACGGTCGTCAGAGTAATGAAACAAGGCAGCAAAGATACTAGACAGACAGCACTAGAAGCACCAACGGCAATCTTTATTTTAGTTTCAAAAATCTCCTCGACAACAGATAGCTAGCAGTCAGACCATTCCATAGTTCCGAGCGCGTTCATGTGAGTCTGAGACGCGATGTGGGAACGCGCGAGGTTCGCCGCAAACTTTTTGCGTCGGAAGCTTCCACATCTCCATCTCTGAGCTAAGCTAACTTCAATCAAACTATATATTTTAATCGACTCTGGCCCCAGAAAGCGCAATACCTTCATTGGGATGGCGAGTAAATGGCGCACATGACACAAAACTAAACCTATGCAGACGCCCGGCAATACCTAATCGAAGGAATTTATGAAGATCCTCGCTATATTCAATTATCTATTCGCCAATTACGAACCATATACGTAGGTCGTCTGGACATCTCTGCCTAACATCTGCTCATGCACAATAGCCAGTTTAATTTGCAACATTTTACCGCCAATGTAGGTACCAACATTCGCAGAGTTTCAGTTTCTTTTTAAATACGCCATGCGCTTTGAAACATCCCGCTTTGAAAGTCTGCGTGTCTTTTAAGCACACGGCTGTAATATTTGCGCAATGCATTCCCCCCCCCCCCCCAAAAAAAAAACAATGAACAAACAAACATGTTTTTTGGTTTGGATAAATAAACTTTGCACAGCAGAAAGCTTAAACTCCGTGAGAATGTGACTCTAGCAGTTGGGATAGAACCACATAAAACCCAATTTCGTCCAAACAAGAAATCACATTGTGGGCACCTCATAGCATCTATTTCATTGAAAAAATACCTTGTCAGCAAGAAAGAAAATAATATTCTCTTACTCGCTAATTAGTGTCTGTCACTGACATTAATCCAACATGCGTCCACAGTGTCAGTCCTTGTTTTGACAATACTAGGCGTAGGTGGATGTTGGCACGTAGACAAATTTTGTCTTTCTCACTTTCTTTTGATTTAAGTAACATCATGTTTTCATACTTTCGCTTGCGATCCCAACCGCTAGAGTCCCAATTCTCACAAAGTTAGAGCTTTCTAAGGTGCATAACTTTTTTTCTAAGTGGGCCAAAAACACAGTTCTTTTTTTTCGGGAACACCCTGTACTTTTCTAAACATTGATCACGGCGGGCTAGTCCCGTTTCATACCAAGCACCAGCGCAATCCTATCATAGGGCGTGTCTCCAGGGATGAAAACCCGAAAGAGGGAGGGAGAGAGCTTCACCTGAACACCCACGCTCTTGATGGGCAGCAGAGTGGAGGTGAGCCGGCACTGCTGGGACAGCCGCGTCAGGAACTCGCACTCCTCGTCCGTCGTGCCACTCTGCACTCGGTTCATCAGGGAGTGCTTCTGCACAGACGCACCAGACACCGGCCCTCAGCCCCGACACCCGCCCACAGAACACGTCCCGTCAACGGACCACCCCTCATGGGTCGTCTCGGCTACACTTTTCTGCCTTTCTATAATCTTTTTTTTAGAGCGCAGCTCTTAGGGGCCCGTTTCCGGCTTGAGCGGCGTCGGCGTCGCCGTCGGCGTAACTGCGCGGTGCATTATGGGTAAATTTCCCCGCTAAATCTAGCGGAAAAATTTTCCCTGCTAGACTTAGCGGAAAAAATTCCCCGCTAAATCTAGCGGAAAAATTTCCCCGCTAAATCTAGCGGAAAAATTTCCCCGCTAAATTTAGCGGGAAAAATTCCCCGCTATCTGCTAGATTTAGCGGGGAAAATTTCCCCGCTTAATCTAACGTAAAAATTTTCCCGCTAAATCTAGCGTAAAAATTTTTCCGCTAAATCTAGCGGAAAAATTTTCCCGCTAAATCTAGCGGAAAAATTTCCCCGCTTAATCTAGCGTAAAAATTTCCCCGCTAAATCTAGAGGAAAAATTTTTCCGCTAAATCTAGCGGAAAAATTTCCCCGCTGAATCTAGCGGAAAAATTTTTCCGCTAAATCTAGCGGAAAAATTTCCCCGCTAAATTTAGCGGAAAAAATTCCCCGCTATCTGCTAGATTTAGCGGGGAAAATTTCCCCGCTTAATCTAGCGTAAAAATTTTCCCGCTAAATCTAGCGTAAAAATTTTTCCGCTAAATCTAGCGGAAAAATTTTCCCGCTAAATCTAGCGTAAAAATTTCCCCGCTAAATCTAGAGGAAAAATTTTTCCGCTAAATCTAGCGGAAAAATTTTCCCGCTAAATCTAGTGTAAAAATTTTTCAGCTAAATCTAGCAGAAAAATTTTCCCGCTAAATCTAGCGTAAAAATTTCCCCGCTAAATCTAGAGGAAAAATTTTTCCGCTAAATCTAGCGGAAAAATTTCCCCGCTTAATCTAACGTAAAAATTTTCCCGCTAAATCTAGCGTAAAAATTTTTCCGCTAAATCTTGCGTAAAAATTTCCCCGCTAAATCTAGCGTAAAAATTTCCCCGCTAAATCTAGAGGAAAAATTTTTCCGCTAAATCTAGCGGAAAAATTTCCCCGCTTAATCTAGCGTAAAAATTTTCCCGCTAAATCTAGTGTAAAAATTTTTCCGCTAAATCTAGCGGAAAAATTTTCCCGCTAAATCTAGCGTAAAAATTTCCCCGCTAAATCTAGAGGAAAAATTTCCACGCTAAATCTAGCGGAAAAATTTTCCCGCTAAATCTAGCGGAAAAATTTCCCCGCTAAATTTAGCGGAAAAAATTCCCCGCTATCTGCTAGATTTAGCGGGGAAAATTTCCCCGCTTAATCTAGGGTAAAATTTTTCCCGCTAAATCTAGCGTAAAAATTTTTCCGCTAAATCTAGCGGAAAAATTTTCTCGCTAAATCTAGCGTAAAAATTTCCCCGCTAAATCTAGAGGAAAAATTTCCACGCTAAATCTAGCGGAAAAATTTCCCCGCTAAATCTAGTAGAAAACAACTTAAAAACGCATAACGTGTCCAAAACAATGAGCTCTTTTCAACGAGGTGGCACGCTAAACTTCATTATGCAGGTTGCCCACTGCCTCAGCACCTATCGCTTAGAGCCCCGCTTACCCAAAGCCCCGACGGAGTGCTCGGTGAACCTTACAACTACGACCAAACTCATACCCCTTTTAAACATTGTAAAAAAAAATTAAGAACATTTGCAGTTCTCTGCAATGCTGAACTGGAGTGCAGCTCTTGAGGAGAAGGAAGCAAGGGTAGAGAGGGAAGCAACTGCCCCTTCTCCCCCTCCGTGACGCGTGACGTTGCATGTGACATCATCACAAAACACATGACGTGATATATTTCCCGTGCGACCTCACGTGATGTCACACGCGACGTCACATGTGATGTCATTATGGGAAACGTCCCATAAAGCAACACACAGTGACGGTGAGAGCAACGCCGAAGCCGCTGAACCCAGAAACGGGCGCCTAAGAGCTGCACTTTATAACATTCTCGTTGCTCTTAGTGCGTCGTGAGACCACTCGAGCACAGAAGCCCTCGAAAGGCTTTTGGAACCAGACAGCTAGCAAAGGCTGCCGGAGAAACGGGCGGTACCTTGTTCAGCGCATTGGAGTAGTCTACGATGATCTTGACCATGACGCTAGTTTCGGAGAAGTCCTTTTCCATGTAAGGCTCCTCGCCACATAGAACGCGCACAGCCAGACCGGGCCCTGCGGAAAGACATCGACGAAAGCGGTCGGAAAACCAAACATGTCGACGAAGCTTTGCAGAATCCAAATAGAGTCGATTCGAAAGAGAACCACGCCCCGATGTAGAGTGACATCGACATTCGAATATGCCGCAAGTTGAGCCGGAAAAGCCAGGAGCCTGCGCGTAGCGACTGCACATTTGCGTCAAACGTGGTTTAGGTAGCCGGTTTTATTTACCCCGTGAAATTTCGAGACGTTGCTTCTTTTCGGCGAAAGCGAGAACGAAATGACGACCAACTCTCGAGTCGCGTGCTCCTGCCAAGAGGTGGTTCTATCTGTCCGTCCAGGGCAAACAGGGCAAACAAGACGAAACGAGAGACGCATTTCGAGTTACCGTTACAGATTCACCTCACCAGCCAGCTACACGATGCATTTATCGTGTAGCCAATCGGTTGCAATATTGACACCTACACAGTTTGAAAGTTACAACCAAGTTCAAATAACTAACTCTGCCACAACTTTATAATAAACTGCAACTTGGTTCAGTTGCGATCACACTTTCTAATATTATGTGAACAAATGTACAAATGTATGTCTATCTGGTCTCGACGCCAACGCCAGATGTGTTGTGACTGCCTCGACGCCAGCGAGCGGAGTGCCCAATTAAAAGCAGACTGCGCCCATCTTCCTTTTTGCACTGGAAACTGAACAGTTGGTCGGACACTGCGGTACTCCTCGAGACGTCGCGGTATACTTTATAGCTAGGGTTACGCATTTCCTAATAATTCCAGAAAACTCCGGAAGACACCTGCCAGTAAAATTTTGGTTAATTCGGATTTATCCGATAAACTCCAAATTTTGGCGTACCAATGGGCCCCCGCCCCTTCACCCCCCCCCCCCCCCCCCCCCCCCCAAAAAGAAAAAAAAGCCGGTAATAAGTATTCCTTATTAAAGTTTGAACAGCGCGCAGTGTCAATGGTCCTGAGAAAATGCCACCACAGTTATTTTTCAAATTCTCGGACCACCGACACAAAAGATCTTACTGCTTGTCTTAGCCATACTCGTAAGCATTTGAGCTCCCACAACTGCCCCTGCAACGCGACTCCTCTGCAAGAGCAACAGACGTTCGGAGAGGACTTTGGATGGGCTCCGACACTTGGGCCGAGCCAAAGCGCGGTCCGTCCCCCGCCCCCAACGTGCCCGACCGACGGTCGACGCCCACCTGGGAAGGGGTGTCTCTGGACGAGCTCGGAGGGCAGTCCCAGGTCTCGTCCCAGGGCGCGCACCTCGTCCTTGTGGAAGTCCTTGAGGGGCTCCACCACGCGGCCCTTGGCCCTGAGCTGGCGCACCAGGTCCGTGTCGTTGTGGTGCGTCTTGATGGCGTCCGCTTGGCCGCTCGCAAGGTGCGAGGCGCTCTCTATCAGGTCCGGCCGCAGGGTGCCCTGGCCCAGGAACACGTCCTCCGGGTTCAGCTGCAGCTCCCCAATCACCTCGTTGGCAACCTGGGCCAAAGGGGAAAGCCAACAGAAGGTTTGCCACTGCGAACTTCCTTCCGGGATGTCCCACAAGCCTCACACCCGAGACATTTCAATCCAGTATATTTAATTCCATTGTCTCCTTACAAGGTGCGTTATGTTCCAATACACATTATTCCAGTCTACTCTATTATGTTTCATTCTAATCAACACTAATGTTGTCTTCCAACTTGCTCGTTTGCCGGGCGTTTTTTTATCCCAGGGACATAGTACTTTTTTTTATTATTATTATTTATTTGCGCATACTGCAACCTCTGTGAGGTCATTGCAGGAGTGGAAAATATAGAAACAAATTAACATGCAAACAATACGACATGCCCTTGAACATAACAGAAATGAAAACCGTCAAGCGTTACTGAAAAGAATAGGCAGAACCGTGCTAATAAAATCATCATGGGGAAGGGTATGTATTTTACCATCAAGATTATTCCAAATTTCAATTCCACCGTAGAATACCGTGCATCCACCCATTCCACACTAAGCGCCCATTTTCAAATTTCTAAGATCCGAGAAAATATGCTCGGTACATTTAAAAGTAAAATTGATGATTGAACAAGCGCCCATCCCCCATTTTTCACAATTATCGCTCAATTTTGAGCGGGCGCTTGCCCGGTGTTTTACGGTACGTGGAAAAAACGAACATTTAAAGCAGTTAGTATGAGACTGAAAAGGAACAATATTTAATGAATATTTGTGCCAGATTAGTTTGTACTTCTCTCCATAGAGTGGGCAGACCCCATCCAATGCGACCAAAAGCTTGTGAAAGAGGGGTCAAAAGAGGGACATTTGTCGTGCCAACAAGATGACAGAAGAGAGGGAACGGCACTTGACTGGGGACAGACAAACAAGCTGGGCTCATTCTGCTACGATTCAAAGGCCAGTGAGGGAACCAGGTTTGTTTCCGCTTATTTGGTGAAATATGGCCTTCGTACAAAAAACCTCGACGCGCCACCTCATTTCGACGCAATCCTCGACGAAGCGCCGCAAAAACGCGGGCCACTTTTTTCGTTCGAAATTTGCCTCTATGGAGTATCGTACGAGAAATATTGTACGACTTTCTTTAGTGGTGCGCCACGTGCATGTACAAACCATGCTGCTGGAGTCAATTCAGTCTAGCAACTAAGGACTGCATATTCAAAGCACATTTTAATATTCACCCCTTTTTTAGGAGCGAAGCTCCTTAGGGTCTAGCCTTGACCGTCCGGCGTCCGTGTTCACATCAATTGCCATCCCATCTGTCTTCTTAAAAAAAGAAAACATGTTTGCGCAGTCGACAGGATTCGAACCTGTGCGGAGAGACCCCAATGGATTTCTAGTCCATCGGCTTAACCACTGGGCCACGACTGCGGGACGAGTAGGGGGCTCTGAGAGGTGGTAGTAACTCGAGAGCTGGGGATGTCATGAATGAAACGTTGCATCTAGCCGCTTAACGTCTACACAGGAGAGGGCGCTGGGGTCAAATGCGTATGTAATCGCGTTAAACTTTGCATGCATTGGCTCAACGTTTATAGACGAGAGGGCGCTGCAGTCAAATGCTCAAATGCATATATAACCACGATCCATACCACACATTCTCTTTCTGACATGGGCCATTGACTTAAGCGGTGGAGATGCATTCCCACGGCTTCTAGCAGATCCAAGCTAATTCGCTAGAAGAACCACTGGCTCTGCATTTCACCGACCATAAAGCAGTAATAATGAAGTCGAAACGCAACCCAGAACTCAGCACTACCTATGAGCAATAAAAAAAGAATCAGCAACATCAGTACAAACTATAAATAATAAAATCAGTATTCTCAGCACCACCAGAGCTTTGCCCCAATCAACATCATTCACCACATGGAGATGCGGCCTCTTTTTGTTTGGCAACAAACTAAGTGGCACCATCTATTGCGTGGTCCCAGCACATTTCTGGTTCGCGTATACTGTCGCAACCGGTTATAATGAGGTCGGTTATTCGCGACTCCAGCGACCTATAGGGGGCGCCACCACCAAACAAACATGGCGGCTGAGTCCAGGTCGCGTCGGCTTGGCCGCGTCGCCTGAATGGGTGGCGCATTCAATTTAAGAAATTTTCTTTTGTTGAATGCCCAATTTTATGGGTATTTGAACTGAGACAGTTAAGTGTAGCCGGTGCGCATAAACTTGCCGAGCATAGTTTTGTTTTGCCGGTGTTTTTTGTTCTTTTCATGTCAAAACTTACGTTTCGGAAACTTCGATTAAAACCGAAACTATGGGCTCCGGAGAAACGGTAATAGACTCTAATTAGTTTTGATCATCTAAGGAAAGCGGCGAGGGCTACAAAATTGTTCCACCAATAGTAATTTTTAGCTAACTCGCATGCCTCGACCATGCGACTTATCTGTCCGCGAAATTGAGCTTTTGTGCCTGTCCGCGTTTCAAGAAACAGCTGCAGTCGTGTGCTCGGTCAAGAACACAGGCTGGGGGAAAATTACAAAAATTAAGCAGCTTCTTGAGCCAAGGAGCGTGTCAACTCGCTGGCGCTTCACTAAGCAGCTGATACTCGTATTTCAATTCAGGTTTTAGTAGCAATCGAGAAGTCATTTTGACGAATATGCGGATTATATTACGTACTATGTCCCACTAAACCGATATTAGTATATTCTTCGGGTGAAATATGAACTTAGTTAACTAACTATTAGGCGTGAACTGCTGAATAAAAGTATATTTGACAGACAGAGAGATACTACTTAAACTTAGCCAAATGGTTCTAGCCGGTAGAACGGAGACGAGTGCGGACAAACTGAAGAGAGTCTTCATTGGAGATTCACGCAGAACCTCTCTGCATTGAACTTGACTTCGAATCCTGAACGGAGAAAATGAGTATTTTTTTGTGGCCGGTCAACCCGAGCAATATAGACGTATATTGCTGCTGGCTTCGACAGGGGTCATAAAATAAATATAGGAGGCGTGATAGATCCTAATGTCGTGACAGCCTCTAACTTTGCGAGACACGTCCCCCACCTTTTGAAAGCAGATAATTTCCCTCATTAATCATATGCAGCGAGCACGTTTTCTGAATCAAGTAATTGCGAAATTAGCCCAACTCCTTCAATGTGGACTTTTTCGGCGAAAAGCCGCCAAGATGAATAGCCAACGCACCGGCCGGCGTTAGTGGCTAAATCAACTTGAAGCTAATCGAGCACAACCAAACTCAAGGAAAGCAGCTATCGAACCTTCCCATTCACTTGACTGCAACATTGGTGTTCTCTCCAGTGAAACACTTCGTCTGTCGACCTCAGTCCACTGTTCTACATCCTTATAAAGAAATCACTTATCAGCACTTATCAGTTACCAAGCAGTCGTCACTTTGAATGTGATTAGAGACAGACGAGAAATCAAAACGTTTTTCCGCGATTCCTCCTCATCCAAAAAATCGAAAGCACGCGACCGTGTGTTGCGGAGTAAACGGGCTTTGAAACACGTGATGTAAAGAAACAACCTACTGAGGCTTCACCACACTAATGAACACTCAGGCAAACTTAAGAAATTTTCGGACCTTCGTAAAATTACATTGCTCGCCCCCGCGCCGACAGCACGTGTCCGCGAAAGCCATCAGAGACGCGGCGGGGCGCGGAGCGACCTGGACCGACTGGTTCCCGGTTTTCCCGCTTGGCGGCGTCCGTTTTGCTGGAGTCGCGAATAACGAAATAGTGGCTACAGCAAAGCAATCACGATTTCCCATAGCCTTTTGCACTTCGTTCTAACCGAAGTCGGTTATAACGAAATAGCAAAGTGATTTCCAATTCCCGTTGACTTCGTTATAACCGGTCTCAACATTATTTCCTAATTTTTTACTGCTCATTCTTTTACTGTAGAAGTGAATAAAGTCTGACAGTGCTACAAGTAGTCATTTCCAAAAGATTTGATTTTCCAAATACCGCAAAAGACTTCAGAGCAGGAAGTTGTTGAGGGCGCACACTGCTGCCACGACGTTTCAACTGACGCAAGAAAGTGCCAACAGAAGGCCCGCTCGGTTCACCCACTCCTCTCGCACCGGCCGCACGGCGTTGTGTTATACGAGCATAGCCTGTCTCGATACAGACGCCCCCAAATTTTTCTGCCGAAGGAGCATCGGGAGATTCAAGGAGACCACCAGCCCTCCCGACGCGCTCGAGATAAACCCTAGGGCGGGTCCTCACCCGCATGAAGGTGTCGCCGATGATCTTGCGCTTCTCCTCGGGGTGGGCGGTCTGGCAGAGCATGCGGGTGGTGCGCTTGCGCTGGGGCTCCCTGGGGTCGATGGGCACGGTGGTGGTGCCGTTGTAGAACTGGTGCGAGGCATCCACCACTCGCAGCCGCAGGCCCAGCTGGCGCAGCGACTGCTCCACCTGGACGCTCTCCTCCTTGCGCATGAAGCCGTTGTCAATGTGCAGCGCAATCACCTGGTCCTCCCGCAAGGCCTTGTGCAGCAGGGCCGCACACACCGTCGAGTCCACGCCCCCGCTCACCAGCATCTGAGGGAGGCACCCACCCTTCTGCTAACACCTGCAACGCCGGGCCTGAGTCCCAAACGTCGCCAGTAGATCCATGCAATGCCACCGGCGCCTCTCGCGGCGTCTTGTGGGCGCGACGCCAAGAGGGATGCGCTTCGCTCTCGCCGGCCGGATCGTCGGGCTTTCCTTCACAAAGCCGGTACAAATTCCGCGACGCTACACTTGAAATTATAACTGCGGACTACACGTCCGATAAAACTTGCCAATTAATCGCGCACACTCCCACCACGAACCTATTTTTGCGAGTCTATTCGCGTTATTCGACTTTTCGTTCCGTACGATCGCATTGCAAAGTCCCGGCGGGCACCCGAAAATGTTGACGAAGAAAATGGACACGTCATTTCGAATGCAGATGGACCTTCGCGTCATACAATTCGACTTTAGCGATTTCGCGTGGGCGCGCATCGTACCGCACGGTGATGCCGGGAGGCAGGCTCAAGAACCTCGCAAATAGGAAAACGCAATATTTTCGCTACAAAGTGGCCCTGGCAAGTGCAAATACCTTTTCGACGTTCGGCGGAAAGAGCGGACCCTCGACTACATGTCAGACGGAAGAACTACGACGGTTCGGCGACAATGGGGATGGATTTCATTCCAAACGTGAAACCAATTCTTGGACGAGACCTCGAGAGAAACACTCAATAAGACAGACATTGCGCCAATTTGAGACATCCGTGTCCCTTTCTCTGGAAATCTCCGATTTTATCTCCTTTCAGCCGAGTCTCAGGGTTTCCCATCCCGTTCAGCGTTTTGTCTTTTTGCGTAGAATGTCGGCACTCTCCCGAACGTGCCGTTGCGTGCACGTTTTAAGCGGAAATGGTACCAAACTATCCTGGACTAACCTGGGCAACGAGAAACAACTCGACTCTGATCATTTTTCCAACCTTGTTTTACTTCTTAGTATAATTCGACATCATTTCAATGTCCTGTCAAGGTCGAATTAACGAAGGATTGCCGCTTCAAAACTATAAACGCGATTTGTATCCCGGATAAATCTGGCCGACCGTGGCCACGTCTCGGTAATTGAGCTTCATAAAAAAAAATTTCGAGAATGATCCGGGCAAAGAGGCGCATTTTTGTCTCCTCGTTACGGACGACCCGCATTAAGAACGATTTTTTGGGCAACTGAGGTGTTCATATTAACGAGACAAAACTATTAGCAATCTTTAATTACCACAACCCCTGCCACAAACATAACAATAGCCTGGTCGCACTCGCTGGAATACAATTTTGTAGCTTCAAACTGTTTAAGTCTAGTGGGAAGCAGTGCCGAAAGGCCACCCACCAGGACCTTGCTGTTGCCCACGGTGCGTCGGATGTAGTCGATGCACTCCAGCTCCCGGCTCTGGAGGGTGAAGTTTCCCGAGAGGCCCGCCACATCGTACAGGAAGTTGGAGAACATGGCCTTGCCCTTGGGCGTCAGGTCCACCTCCGGGTGGAACTGCACCCCGTACAGACGCATCTTCTCGTTGCCAATCGCTGTGGGCAGAGGGGGATGCAAAGTGCCGTCCACGCTCGTTAACACCAATGTAAATGGGACGCTGAGATGGTAAAATGAACTAGCCAAGTCTAAGAAGCGGGACCACGCTCGGCATCGAGTAGACCAGGGAAGGCTTGGAACTGGCCCCCCTCGTTAGCCACACACGCCCGCAATCACCTTTTGCCTATTTTCTCGGAAAGCAATAGTCACCAGGTTCTGCACACAAATGCGACGGAGGCAAAGAGCGCGACTTGGAATATCCCCGCAAATTGCACGGTCACGCTTGGGCCACATCGGTGTCCCAGCAGAAACAGTTTGCGGTAGTTGCCAGAGGGCTCTTTTTTCCTTGTAAGAGGGAAAGTGGATGTAACGAGCTCACAAACTAACCTTACAAACAAACGTAACGAGTGATTGAAGCGAAAAAGCACAGTCTCACGAAACCCGTCCAGTCCAATCCAAACCGGTCCAAACCTAACCCCGACCGTCTAAACTAAAGCCGGCTGCGTGCAGCGGATCAATAAATGCCGACGCATTTTAGAAGAGCCAAATTCCCACCTGCCACCGTGGATCCGGAAGTGGCAATCACCTTGAAGTTCTCCGCCGCCTTCTCGATGCTGTCGCCGTGCGTAAGAAGCGCCTCCTCTTCCCGATCCATGCCCCTGCAAAGGCGTGCGGAAAGGCGCTCCAGGCATCCCAAGAGCAACGATGGTTCCCGGAGACTCGCAGCCACCGAGCATGTTTTGCATCGCCATAGATCTACAGACTGTCACCGGACCGGGAACTACGCCTTGGACTTTCTGGTCCGGAGTAACGGTCGCTCGCCTCCGACCGCAGCCGAGCAATTCTTCGGCCGCAATTGCCACGAGGGGGTTGAGAGGCCCGGACACTCCGAACAACAATGTACGCGCCAGAGAGCCGATGGCTCATAGTCCCGTATCAATGCGCAACTGGGATCAGTTAATATAGTGAAAACTCTTTACTCGGGAAGGGTAGGAACAATCCAAAGAACCCGGGTGCCCAAGAACCCCCTGGAGTGGTCCCTCCTTCCCTTCCTAGGAACTCAGTTTGCAAACCCAAGTTCTAGACAATAGACTCGTACCATATTCGAAGCAATCGTAGGGGCAAAATGCCACTAGGATTGTTTCTAGAGTACAGTCATCCGTCGGCTCCTCAATGCCCTAGGCTTCTTAAATGATCCGTGAGGGTCATGCTGCATCCTCATGTGGAGTCCAGGCCGCCAGACAGGTATGGGACGTGGCAGGCCGTACTCCTACTGCTCGCTAAGCCGAGGCAGGCCCTTACGACCGCCAAAGGTTTGCGCTTCCACGGGAGCTCTCGCCAAGATGAATGGATGCAACGCGAGTGAGCTCCGGTTTCAATTTCGTGCAGTCAGGGGTGGACCAGCCAGTTTTAGTGTGGAACAATTTTTGGAGCTGAAAATATCTCACTTTCGAGCACCACGCGCATTAGTTTGGAGCGGTTCGGTGCAGTTCCCCATTAGAGCTGCCGGCATGGATCGATGTAATCAATGACGTGAATCCCGTTTAAAAACCGAAAGTTAGCAGTTACCCTGTGCTGGCCAAATTGTCCTTCGAGTGCTGCGAAGCTGGGCCATAAACTCAGTCAAATTCGTGTTTTGCTTCCATCAGAGCTAGTGGACAAGGGCTTGCAGGATTGATGCAAGTGTGCTAACCATTGAGAAGTCCGTACAGAGTATACCAATCTAACCCACTCGATCGGGGAACTTTTTGGCTAGGGGGCCGGAGCATTGAATGGAAGTTTATTTGACATATGAAATGTCGGGGAGGGAGGAGCAAAAGGTTGCCGAAGCTACCTGACGAGGCTCCATTCCCCTTTTCGGCGCTACACCAGTCGCAGCAGCAGTGTACATGTCATACATAGAAAATTCAAGCTCAAAGTATTTTCACAGACACTGTTTTGACATAAACTAAACACAAACAAAACACGAACTAGGATGATTTGCCTTAAATCAATTCATAAATGAATGCGCAAAATATTAATCACCTGAGTCTGGACAGCATGAAGCAGTGACCCAATATTTAACCCGAGAGCGTAAAAGTGCACTCCTTTATTTCCTTTTTAAAGCTCCGCAAAGAAGAACAGCAATTTATAAAATCTATTACGTCTGAAAATTTGTTTAAAATTCCAGAATCAAGAAGCTAAATTTCTGTGACCCCCAGGAACCTGTTTCAGTGTCGAGGGCAAAAAATTAGGCAAGACCATATAAACGAGGAAAGAATAAATAAATAAGCCTAAATGAGCATTTAAATAAAGAAATCTAAATTAGAGCAAAATTTGTTTAAGAAAATGCGAGGTGCATGAACACATGTGGGCACTTTATTTTTAAATGCTATATGTTGCTAATTATGACATTAGAAAATAATTGCGACCCAGACAATTCACGAAGCATAAATCAAAGCGCATACGAGCTTCGGCATATTAACGCGGCATAGAAGAGGGCTAATGAGGACAATGAATCTGATGATGACAACGTGCGAGAGTTATGACACAGATCAGTTACACAGACAGGGCACTACAAACAGTAATGCTGGTCGTGACAAAGTACAACCAATAATGTGGCGAGAGAACCCCTAAAGCGCAAAAAAATGTCTTTTTATGCACTTATTTCTGCGTTTGTAGCAACAAGCCACAGGCCGGGCATCGTTGGAAAAACCGCGGAAATTCTAGGGGCCTCCGCTGGTCGCGGTTTAAAGACCACTTCTCTAGGTAATAGAGAGAGGCAAACTGGGACTACAGAAAGGCTTTTCACATGACACTATAATCAATGTTGTCTGGACTTCATACCTCGTAAAGACAACATGCTTCGTTGCAAATATATTATTTGCAGCGACACTTCCCGACGACCTCTCACTGTGAAAACATTGTCCGATGCGCTTCGCTTTTCCACGGCTGTGATAGCGATCTAGCTGCTCGAAAATCCAAGTTAGTAGACAAAAGCTTTATCAATAAAAATATTTCCGAGTTTTCTAATGTACAGACATTTTAATGAGTAGTACTAGCGAGGATTCATGTGATTTGACACGAAAAAAGGCAACAATTCGTAACCAAGAAGACCCGACCCAGCATGCTAAAGAAACGAGAACCATGTGCGCGCCCCATTTCTATAAAACGGCATTACAATTCTGAATATGGGCATGTGAAAAAAAAAGAATTCCTCACGCTTGGCAATCTTCGGTAGTGCACTTCAAAATGCAACTAAAACTGTTAAAACTGTGCCGCGTTAGGAATGTCGGTAAAATTGGGGTAAAACAATGCCGCACACCTGGAAACCTATATTGGACTGTGATGGGCCAAACCCCACTGGATTCCCACAGTCCAGATGAAAACGAAAACTCTTCCAAAAACCAATTCGATCGCGTACTCATTTGCAGGTTTGGCGTAGTTTGGCACAATTTCTTCCTTGGGGCGCATCAATGCGCAGGCAAGCAGGAACTTGTCAAAATGGCTCAAATGGTGCAACCGGACCACCCCTGTGCAGCGCCGAGTTGCGCTACTTGGTCAACGGGTCATTGAAACCAAAACCACTCGTCTCCACGGCCAACCAGGTCCCATAATGCAACGTGCGCAGTGTAGCACGACGGATTTTTGAAAGCAGTCCATTTTAGAAACCTACCCACAAACTTTCACCGCAATGTCCCGAGGATAAATGACGCAAGTTGTGCCTGCGAGGATCTTCTTATTTGGCCTTCCGAGTTTAAGCCGACTCGACTGAGATTTAGCGACGACAGAACCTTCCTTTTCTGGCCCAGGGTGGCCCTCAAATAACCTTCCAAGTTTAAGCTTCCGCAAGTGCTCGTCATTCTTTAGAGCGCGTCTTGCGGACGCATCTCCAGCCATCGGGGTAAACAACGGGCGCGAGGAGGCGTTCCTTCGGCCCAAGGCAACGCCGCCACTTGGGGCGAGCTCAGCAGTGCGCTCTCACTTGAACAGGGGGCACTTCTGGTCCACCTGGATCTTGAACTGCCCGTCTTCCCGAGAGTCCTTCTGGGTCACCGTGCCTCCAAACTCACGGTTGATCATCTACGCGAGGGGAAAAACAAACGGGACGCAAATTAATTCCTTCCGCTCGGAGACCCCAGATTTCAAAGGGACAGTCAACGAAAATGCCGAGCAGCACGACACGTCCGACTGCCTCTGGCAAGGAGCCTTGTCCCACACTGCCACCCCACACCAGTCTCTCGAACTTGACATCTCACAAAATTGGCCAAAGCTTTTGTTCTAGAATATGTCGAGACGCTCCGGCCACGGTCATCGTCGCAACCCCAAAGCAGTGACTTTTAAGGCTCGTTCTCAATAGGGACGAGCGAAACGACCGGGAGAGGTGATGCCAACAAAGTTTGCAGTCAAAGATTCCTTGCCTTACAAACAGATCTGACAGAACCGCCAGTACCGGCGGTGCTGCACACGTAGAGAGGGAAAACGACGTTCCAGTCACCGAGCTCGGCCGGTATGCAACAATCCCTCCCCCCTCTCTCTCCCTCTCTCTCTCTCCCCCCCCCCCTCTCTCTCTCTCTCCCTCGTCTCTCTCTCCCTCTCCCCCGTCTCTCTCTCCCTCTCCCCCGTCTCTCTCTCTCTCCCTCTCTCTCTCCCTCTCTCTCTCGGATTTCCTGGCAGACATCGGCCACCAACAAGCAAGGGTGTTTATTTGAAAAATAATAAAGTCAACCATTTTATAACCAAAAAGAAGAAAGATTGCGGCAGTAGTTTCTTTCATCAAGAAGCTCTGCAGAGTGAGATGCAACTTTTTGTAGAAAAAAAAGATCCTAGATTCACGTCTCCCGGCGTGCTCTTTAAATTTGAGTTCAAAGTCCCGCAGACTTCCCCGTGAGACGACCCCCAAGACGCTCGAGACAAACAAGACGGTGCAAAGGACTCGCCTGCATGCCATAGCAGATTCCCAGCACGGGGAGGCCACACTGGAAGATCTCGGGGTCGTACTTGGGAGCGTCCGGAGCATAAACCGAGCCAGGGCCCCCCGAGATCACAATGGCCCTGCGGAGAAAAGCGGCGTTTCAAAAAAACCGATCGGAGAGGGGGCGAATTGGCCGCCTGGGACGTGACAGGACAACTTGCGCCATCTAAAGGCCCATACGCACATTCGCGTTTGAGCGCGGTGCGTTCCGTAACGGCAAGCGGACGCGTTGCGTTGCGAAGACCGCTTGCGCCAAGCTTGTACACACAGTTGCGTTGACACGCAGTCAACCGCAGTCAAGAGCCAATAAGAACGCGCTATCGTCGCTAGTGGCTCACCAATAGTAAGCGAAATCCAAGGCAACATGGCGGCGCACGGCAACGGCGTCGGTGTTCGATCTTGGGACAATCTCGCCGGCTTCCCCGACGTTTTGTCAGGCTTGAACCATCGCAGCCTTGGAAAATACAGTCCCCACCGCTCCCCAAAACGAAAAAGCAAGCACTGCGAACGGCGAACCGGATACGTCTCGCCGAGTCGGCCGGGTGGGGCGAGCGAACACGTCATCCCCCCTCCTCTTTCGACTTCTGATTGGTCGAACGCACCGCAACGCTTTGGAAAGTTGAGCGAGTCTCTACTCGCTTGCGTCGCGCTACCGAGCGTTGCGGGAAGGCGCGCGTCGCTCTGCAAGCGACCGCGCCTGGCCGCAAGGACTCCGCAACGCACTCAAACGCGTTCAAACGCGAATGTGCGTATGGCCCTTAACGCAAGTAGGGGCAGCCCGGCAGCAGTAGAGGCAGCGATTGCAACGCCATGTTTTGAGGCGGCGGAAACAACAACCGTACGCTTGAGCGCGGAAAGAGCGCCCCGAAGGAACATGGATGTTAACGGCTCTACCCGTCCTAGTTGCCGGAGTGAGTGATCAACATATTTGACGTCGCCGTGACGTCACCCTACTTTTCTCTTTTTTTTTGCTCATTGGTCGCTCTTTTCTCGCTTCTTCGCTCGCTCAGGTGCCCGGAGCGCGTTACAATAGCCAAGGCTACGGCTGCGCCGGCCTGGTTCCCCTTCATGGGTGCTTTTACTAAAACAATTATTCGCACGCTACCGCAAAAAACAAAATAATTTTTATTTATTCTTTTTTTTTTTTTGTGCACGGCGAGTGTCTTTGCCAGTCCTTTGTCCTAACTGGTTGTGATGTTTCCTTTCCTTTGCAACTTTGGCATATGGTTTTGTTTAATGTTGCTTGCCATTTTTATTACTGATTTCTTATCAATATGCAAACTTGGTCAAAAAAAAAAAAAAATAAATGAAAACTTTTTTTTTATTATTATTGAATTGCTTAGGCTTGTAGATTGGTCCCAAGAGATAGCGGGTTGGGCTCCTAAACAATGGCCCGTGCAGACCTCCAAACCGTAGTCCATTATTCCCCAAAAATGATCACGACAGCCTTTCGACCGCTTCCGACGTTGGGCGAAAAAGGCTCAAGTTGCCCATGTGCTGATGTTTATACAACATCTGACGTTGCAACAAGATCGCAGACCAGTAAAGTTGCAGGTTAGTTTCGGTTTCGGTTATATTGTATTTCTACGACTGAAAATTATCGAAATTTTTGGGGGAAATTTACCTGCTGCTTTAGGCTCAGTTTCTTGCGCTCTTTCAGAAAATATGCTTACCGTAACATCCAGAGAGATGCCCCACCCCCGAAAGATGACCCACCCCCTATCTTTGGCTCGATTCGCTACTTCTTTTTTAACACCGAAAAAGAGCCCACTCCTAGTAATTGCAGTGTTCGGATGAATGATGACCTCGTTGTAAATGCGGCTAGTTAGCTATGGTGGGATATAAGCTGACATCGCTGACTGAGAAGTCATCTTTGCTTCATCGTCCCTCACCACAATAACAAGTTTCTTTCAACTTTTCTCGACTGCACACCAAGCATTAGCCTACTCCCAATTTTCACCCAACTTCCTCTCGATTTTAGGTGGGCTCTCTCTAGGAATATTCTGCTAGTTGAAAACGTTCAAAATAACGAAAGAGCTCCCATTACGACCCTTATGTGGTAAATCTTATCGAGAGGTTTCTTCGGGTAAGCGCATTCAACAGAGGGGCAGTTGTAGTCACCACCGAAACTGAAACGAACAGAGAAACATTTGACCGGCAAAAACCAGTCGCTTTGGTACGTCTCCCGTCGACGTACAGAGCGCCATCGGTGTACGAAACGTTAGACAGATATTTCAGCGGCTAGAGGAAACTGAATTTCCGAAAGGGTCCATTCCCACGGCCGATTGGCCAAAAGCCCTTTGAAGGGGCACAGGCCTTGTCGCACGTTCGGGGGGAGGCCGGAAGGAGGCCCACCTGTATCCCTGGTCGAGCAGGCTGCGGGCCGGGGTGGACAGGGGCAGCATGACCGACTCGACGCAGAGCTCCCGGATGCGGCGGTCGATGACCTTGCCGTACTGGGCCCCCGCGTCCAGGATGGCCACCCGCTCGCTGTGCAGCACCCCATTCAGCCCCTCGCTCTGGCCCGTGTCGTGCATGGCCCGCTTCGTCCCGCAGCAGCACTGCACCCCACACAGTCGTCACCCTCCAAACTCTATGGCCTCCCGGGCCACAAAATATACCTTAGAAAAGAATCCCTACGTAAATATAACTAGATCGGCATTTAAATACGGAAATTCAAAGTGGAGTAAAATAAACGAAAATTTAAGGTGTATTAATAGAAAACCTATGAAAAAATAATGACTCGCAAATAATACGGGCGAATATACCGTATATATAGTCTAATTCAAGACTTAGTTAATTATGTCATTATACAATAATTGAAGCCCCGAAAATTCTCCGGGCATAAATCAAAGCGAATATGAACATCGGCATATTTGCGCAGGACAGAAGACTAAAGGGAATGGTAGGACCAGTGACAATACGTGACACGTACGACACAGGGCACTAATATATGCGAGTTAGTTTTAACGCAGTTATGCAGACAAGAAACACGGGACTAAGAATGGATATGAAGGTGGTAACAACAAATCTAGAACACAACCGTCAACGGGATAATAATCGGCCCGGACACAAAGCATTTGGTGAGCAACGCGGTTCCCTTACACACACTTATTTTTGTGCCAGTAGCAGCAGGCCCGCCAGAAATGGGCTGTGGGTCGGGGTCTGGAGACCCCGACCTATGGGGGGAGGTCTCACGCATTGCGATCTCTTCGGAACAGCGGGGCACAGACTGGGGTGTCGACGGTTCTGTGTGTGGTTTCGACGGGCCCATCGCTGCCTCAATATACGTGAAGAAGCCGAGAAACATCGCCCACAAGGCCTATGTAAAACACCGGGGAGCACCCACCTTACTTTTGCCCAAAACTGCATCAATCTAGGCAGGGCGCTTGTACGGTCGAATCGGGTGCTTAACGTAGAATCTGCAAATTCCCAAGTTTGGGAAATGCTGACAGTGGGTGCTCGAACGAAGTGGGCGTTTCTGCGATATTTTACGGTAGTTCTTCTTTAGCTTACTTTGCAGGAAAACACCCGCGTCGCATAAAAGTAGATGAAGTTGACGAGCGCGCAAACAACCTCAACTCGTCGCAGCAAGACGAACGCGTCTCACCTCTCGTCCGCATTTTTTCTGTTGGGACCGGCGAAGTGAAAGCCTACAATTTGCCGCGTCCTACTTCCGTCTTAACCCCCCCCCCCCCACCCCAAGCTATGCGCAGTACCGGGCAGTTAGGCAGACTCGGGGCCCCTTAGAGCGGAAGGCTCGCCTACATTTTCTTACATTACATCACAGGAACATGCGCACTCGTACGTCGCGTGCAAAGCTACTCCTTGAATCGGTAGCTGCGCTTCGTACGAAGCTCGATTGTCCCAAGGACTCTCGACGTAAGCTCCCTCAACGAGACGTACGCAAACAGTACTGGGTGAACGAGCCCCAAAGACCGATATACAGCCTCGGTTTTCTACAGGGAAGGTAATCTTCTCCTAAACTGCGAGTGGAGGCCGCATTGGGGAAAGTTGAAAGGTGGAGGACGAGCAAGAAAGGAGGGCGGAAGGAGAAATGTCGACCTTTAAGCTTCTGCGAGTATTCTTGTCAGTTTCGACGACGTAAGTGTGCAAGATGCAACGGACTTGAACAAATTTCGTTACGTAACATACCTCGGCCAAATTTTCTTACAAAGTCCAGTTCACATAGTATCGTTTACTTGCGTCGCGTTATGCAGCAGAAACTTACGTCCACTTACGTACACCCAAACATCCGTGCTTCGTACGGAACGTGGCAACCAAATCAAGAAGTAGACTCGCCGGTGACATTTGAAGCGCGGAGGTCTCAGTGATTTATAATGTAAAATATGAAAACACACCTGCGTGAATGGGCCTCAAGTCGGGTTTCTGCGAAATAACTTATTTGAAGAAACTGAAGTTTGGAAAATTCTTCCAAATGCAAAATTTCGTGGTGATAAGCTCCACGCATCCAGAAATACGATGCACAAAAAACAATGACACGAAAGTGCAGCATGGCACACCCCTCACACTTCTGCGCTATCAGCAGCTGCCCTCGTGTTTTCCGATAGTTAGGGGGTCAAAGAACTGCAAGAACCTGCACGGAGCACTTCGAGTGGGTTCCTTTGTGTGGTGAACGGTCGTCCGGCTCCGCTCTGCTACAGCAAAATGCAAAAAAGAGCTCGCCCCCTGGGAAGCAGGTTCCAAACCATCGCAGACCAACAAAACAATTCCGTCGCGCCGACCTTGGGATGCTCGAAGATGTTCACTCTTTTTCCTCCTTTGTTAAAAGAGCGTGCGCACAAACGTCCAACGTCGACGATAACGTCCGAAAAAGGTGCATCAAAAGGTGACCAATAGCAAACTCGAGGAGACTCCTTTTAGAGTCACCTTATCGCCACAGGCAAATTGAAAAGCAATGGCCTATACTCAGGGTATTTCTGTAGGCCACTGCTCGAGCAAAGTTTCCCTGTCTTTCGCTGCGAACAACCTTGCAGGTACGGCTCTACTGTTTTATCTAGCACTCGTAAATCACAATGCGTGAAGCGAAGTCAACAGTAAGAATAAGAGAAAGTTAAGTTTGTATTCCTGATGCCAGGAAAAAGATCTCTGTGAAAAAAACACAAGAGCCAAACTGTTGCACGAGGCTGTGTCGCAAACACTCGCAAATTATTGCTCATCCTGGTGAGAATATGCCACCTTTCGAGCATTTGGGTCTTAACCCAAACGTTAAGATATTTATCGAACGACAATAAATTTGTATCGTTCAACTTGAAACAGAACGCAAGCGGGACTATTTACGGCCTCCTCTCCCAATCAGAGATAGTGGCTGCCGAGGACTTAGCCACGCGCTCCTTACAAAGGTCGAAAGGGTCGCGGGAACTGCCACAAAATGTCGACGGTGCAACCGATGGCGCGACCGATCGTTGCAAGATTTTTGTCTACATCTCTTTCTCGTAGAGGCAAATATTTTACCACAGTTAACTGGAAAATCTCAGAATGCTTTGGCAACAATCAAGCGAGAAATTTTTGCGACCAGCAACAAATTACTGAGACCATTACGCGCCGAGCGTCAGACTCCAATTAAAAGATGCGCGGGTTTCATCGATGCCAGACACCAAATACGACGAACAAGATGCCCAGGTGTCCTCGCTGCTGTCCTTTTAACAGCCCCAATGGATGTGGCCCTACCACAAAAGTCACAACCTCTGCACACTCCGGTCATTCGGCACTGCCCGACAACTCTAGGAGTACACTTATTTATTACACTTTGCCACGCTCCTTATCTATAGACGAGGTAGAGATGACCATTCATACATGCACGCCAAATTCCGAAAACGCCCCGACAAACTTCCTTTTAAAGGCGTTATTTCGAACCGTGTACTTAGGAAACGGAGTTGCGATCAAAGCGCGTTGAGGTTCCATTGCCAGCGAGCTGCCTCGCTCGTAGACTTACTTGGTTCACGCGTCCTGTAACGCTCTCACCGAAGTGCGACGGGAGAGTTCAGTCGTCGGCGGGCGAGACATTTCGGTGCTGCGCCAACTTCCAAACATTGGTCAAGGTCAAGACAAGAACCTCACGTTTGGTTTCGGCTGACGCGAGTCGCTCCCGTCGGAAGCAAACATTCCAGCTGACGTTCTGGACCGCTTTTGAAATACGGACCTCAACAGTGAAGGGGCGGCCTTGACAAGGTCGCTACGCCAAATCTACACTATAAACCCCAATTTCCCTTTTTTTTTTTTTTTTTTTTTTTTTTTCTTTTTTTTGATTTGTGTTAACAGGCGTGAATATCGACTGACGGCAGTTCTGACACAGACATGCGCGCTCGGGTGAGTGTAACAGAACTAGCCTTCCCCGTAAAAGACGAGAATTCTCGAGCGTGAAATCCATCCAGACATAAACTGCTCGAAATAAAAGTGCCCATGTAAACTAAGCCTAAGTTTACCGGCCGATTCTGTGCGCTCCGCCGAAGTTGCACCGGAGTCCTCGTCGCAGTCTGGCCGGAGAAGTGACGCGGGAGATGAGCAGCTGCGTTGCGTAACCCAAGGCCGATAGGACAAGCAACCCCGTACGAACCGGGAAACGTGGTCTTAGCGCGACGTACGAGTCGAATTAAAGGGCTCTTGGCGACGCTTCCCATTCAAACTACGGAGCAACCACCGACACCGCTACGCTGCCGTGCCCCTGCGCTGTGTCGCTCGAGGTAAGTTTCCCACTTCGCTGCACCTCGAAACGTTCCGAGAAAGATTCTTAGAACCGGCGACGGGAAGACCGAAAAGCCCCGGTAAAAGTCGCTGCTCTCCCAGACACTATGCAAAGACGGGCACTCCGGACCGCCGGCGGTGAACGGCGGTGCTCGCAATTTCAGCGTTACCTCGGAGATCGGTTGGCGTAGGGAAGCCCCGCGGAAGGTTCAAGACCGGGACGAGCGACGGACAGGATGCATCCACTCACCGTCAGCAGAGAGATTTTGTCAAATAGCGAGAACGCGACAGCAATCACCACTGTTCCGGACAGATAAAAGCGCGTGCGCTGGGGTCTGCGCTCCAAGCGGCGGTAGCGGAAACTAGAAAGTTGTGTAACAAAATTTCCTATCTGTTTGTTCGCATCTCGTTCGTTCTGCGCGCCCCTCCTTGCGAAATACGCTCGTAAAATTCGTGTTGTTTGAAAGCCCTCCGATTTGTGAGGCCTTTGAACGAGATGATATTTCGATATTACCATTCGTTGCACGGCGGCTGGTGCCACTGAGCGGCGCAGATGGACGCTTCGGCTTGAAATCGAAACTGTTTTTTTGAAAAATGCCCCACGCTCCGTGTTTTAACTTTGAGAGAAAATCTTTGACGTAGCCGGGATTTGAACACCGGGCCTTTAAATCCGGTGTGGTGAGCTAACCACCAGATCGCTACGCTACACGAACCACTGCACGGTCTGGTACCTGACCGGATATTGGGAAGTCCGGTGTTCAAATCCGTGGGTGCGTTTGGGGTGTAAACAAACTCCCGAGGTGCGCAAAGAGGGACTTGCACGCCCATTTCACCCAATGCACTTTTTAACTTAACTTACCCTGGATATTGCCCTGTCCGTTTTTGTTTTTAACTTTCTCAGAACATATTTTTTTTTTCTTTTTTTTTTTTTTTACGCAGTTTATTTAGTTTTTGGTGTGATCGAGAGGCACATAAGCAAGAACACGCGCGCCTCGTGAAATCTATCTCAACTTTCGAGATGACGAAGGAGCTTTAACTTCTATACGACATCGCCGAACACCTTCGAGTCGCCCGAACCGCGGCCTCATTGTTTAGGCCCGAGACGAGTGAGGGTAGAGGGCCGAACACAATGCAATCTCCGAAACAGTGTCGTGCTTGCCTCCTCTGTTGTTTCCCGCCAAAGATCGAGAGAACCTCTGACAATGCATTTACGCTGGCCTAAATTTGCACACATGAACGAACTGAAGGCCCAACATTCAAAAAAAGAATATTTGGAGCCAATCACTCCACATTATCATGTCTCTGTATCTCACTTTCCGTATTTATTTCGCTATAGTTTTTCTCTTTTTTTTCTTTTTTCGCAAAACCTGGCGATTGGGAACCGACTGCTCTTGGTTTGTCTCTCCACTCCCTGCTACCTTCCCCTTTCCCGTCTTTTTATACATATATATATAAATGTTTTAAAAAACACGAAATTACGACGAGCGTAGTTGCAGGAAGTGTAAACTGACTTCTGGAGTCAACTGTCACGTCCCCCCCCCCCCCCCCCCCCAGGTTTCTGTGTAATCGTTTTTTTTTTTTTCGGCAAACACTTGATTTTTTGAGAGATTTCGTCCACGATTGGACTTAATCTTCGCACTAGATTTGTGCATGTTTGTAGTAGTAGGCACTGTTTGTCCAACTTTTCCAGCAGCTAGCCTCTTCGCTAGGAGCTCGTCTCTTCCAGAGTGCCCTTGCAGCGGCAGACAAGGGGCGGCAAGGAGGCCGAGGATCTTATCGGCGGCCCTGCTCAGACCACGCGGGTCACCCGACGAGATACGCCGCAGGGCGGGTCGCCGTCTCGCTCGCCTGCCTGCTCGGCCCGATAACGGCCGCCGCCTGAACGCCCTCATAAAAGATGGGCAATCGGCCTTTCTTCCAGGGTCATAACCGCCAAACGCCGCTGAAACGGTGACTCGAATTAACGCCAGTTCAATCGGACGAGTACACTTCCGCCGTTTCATTTGTTTCCGAGAAACTCATATTATGTGTATTTTTGTTGTTGTTTGTCGTGATGTAAGCGCGAACCTGAAACTAGTGTAGGAGAATAGGGAGGGATTCAACCGGTGGGGGAGGGGAAAGAAAGAGCGCAGGACCAACTCCTCCCGAAAAGACTCATTTTGCATACTTTGGCTTTGCTAAGTCTTCTTGTAAATAAGATATTCAAGACCTCCATGCGGGCAGCTGCTGCTCGGTGAACGCAGCCGGTGCCCCGCAAGTTGGACGACCGTCGAATGCGGCCATACTGCACGAGCTCTAAATGCGACGAAGACCCAGAAAAATTCCAACCTCGCAGCATTTTTTTTTTTTTTGCTTTGTTTTTGCTTGCACGAGCATTGCCAAGAGCTCCTGTTGCCTATCGTGCACAGGCACATCAAGTCAGCGAGCCGGTGCATGGAGGACGTGGGCACGTGCACGTGAAACCGGAGAGTCATTGGGTGCAGTGGCATAGTCAGGAATTTTTTTTCCGGCCCGGGGGGGGGGGGGGGGGGGGGGGGGGTTGCTGGGGTGGCTGCGATGTCCATGACTTGCGATGCTGAGTGGGGGGAGGGTGGGGTCAAATAACACGAATTCAACTCTGTGACGTCACTGCGCGGTGGTGGCGCGTCGGGCGCACTTCCGGTCTGGGGCTGTGGGCAGAAGTCCCCATGCCAGACGCGTATTCCTGCGTTGTCTTGAAAGGAACCAGACAAAAGCCTGCCTTCTCGTCAAAACGCCGCGACTGGGGCCGTACCAAAAATTGACCGCATCTCCACGTGGTGAATGATGTTGATTGGGGCGAAGCTCTGGTGGCGCTTGTCTGCGTAGACGCTGAGCCGCAGCATGCCGAGCCTTTCGTTCGTTCTCATCCATGTCAGAAAGAGAATGTGTGATATGGAACGTGGCTGCCAATATTAAGCTGCCAATATGCCAATACTTGTGGTCATCAGATTTATTTGTTTTGTTCCAGCACGAACGCCGGAAAACCGTAAAGTTGTTCGGACCAACTGCGGACTACGTTCAGAGCGTCTTCAAGTTTAAACGGCCGCCTGATCGTTCGAACTGTCGTCTGCTCTTTCAAACGTTTCTGCTTGTCGTCTGCTCTCGACGCCGGCCCGTAGACTAAATGTTGGTCCGGTACTTGCGATAAGAAGTAAGTGCAGGCCTCAAAAGACTAAAGTTTGAAGGTTGGTAAGCAGGCCCGATGTAAGCAGTAGATACAAGGATATGTTGATCATTGTTAACAGTGACCATCACCGACTTGTTATGCCTAATTCACTTGGTCCGATTCTGCTTGCGATTTTCAGTGTCGACGTCTATAACCAGCTATAGGGTTCAAGCTTTTAAAGCCAAAGCGGAGTCGCGATTGAAAATTTGCGAGCGAAATCTCATCATGCGAACCATGCTTTAGCGTACATACTGGAATGAATCGCCACATGTCACATTATTCACGCGAAGTTTTGTGGTGTAACGCGAAAAAGGGCAGGGGGACTCACACCGACGCAGACAACATCGCATTCCAATGGTTTGTTTATGATAACGGCGTTCCGTAAAAAACGCTCAATTTGGACGCGTTTCTAGGAGAGTAGATTGTTGAGCTAGTTGTTAGTAGCGCACTGTGCTGTCTGATTCTCGTCTTTTTGTCCTTGTTTTTGAGCGCTAAAATGTATTCCGCGTTTCTAGGTTTCGCTTTCTTATCGGAGCGCATCTTTGCGCCCGCGGTCCTGCTCCCGGTGGTCGCGGCGCGAAGCCACCCCCTCGCCTCGCTCGTAGCATGGAGGGAAGTTGGCCGCATGTGTGTTGCGCGTCTGAACCACTGGGGAGTAGGACCGCGGGCGCAGAGCTGTGCTCCGATAAGAAATCGAAACCTGGAAACGCATCCAAACGGAATGCATATATACAATATATGCATTCCGGCTTTTATTTGGAACTGCCGGGCTCAGCTCGAGCTGTCGCGCGCCCTAGCCATTTGTCTGGTGCGCTCTTTTTCTTCATCTATATAACATTACACCCCCTTTTGTTTTGCGGTCGTCCCGACCGCTATTAACAAAATATATATGTAAGCTTTTTTTTTTTTTTTTTTTTTTTTTTTTTTTAACGAGGGTGGTGGTGGTGGTTTATGGGGTGGGTCGGGGGGTGTAGGGCTTCATGCGGGCGACGTGGACTACATCGGAGGCTGCTCGGCGTCGGTCAGTAGTGTCTTGCTGTGGCTGCACGTGGTATGAAAGGTCGGAGAGCTTGCGCGCGACTACGTACGGGCCGATGTAGCGGTGGAGGAACTTGGTCGCCAAGCCCTGGTGACGCTGAGGTGTCCAGAGTAACACAAGGTCACCTATTTCATATGAAACGGGGCGGTGAGTCTTGTTATACCGTCGGCATTGGCCTTGCTGGGATGTACGTGTGCGTAGCCGGGCAAGTTGGCGCGCTTCTTCAGCACGACACACGAGATGTGCTACAGTGTCGGGAAGTTCGTCATTTTGACGGTAAGGTAAGAGCGTGTCCAAGAATGTGGTTGGAGTGCGATTATGGAGAAGATAAAATGGTGAATAGCCGTGAGTGTCTTGAACGGCGGTGTTGTATGCGTAAGTAACGAACGGAAGAACAGCATCCCATTGGCGTTGGTCAGACTGGACATACATGGAAATCATATCAGCAATGGTGCGATTGAAACGTTCCACCAAGCCATTTGTTTGTGGATGATATGCTGTTGTGGGTCTATGAATGGTTCCACAAAGATGTAATAGTTTTTGTATCACCTGGGAAAGAAATACTGTTCCTCGATCGCTCAGTATGTGACGAGGGGGGCCGTGTCGCAAAATGATATTGTGTGAGAGAAATGTGGCGACTTCGTCTGAGTTTGCT